CCTTGCATACCCTCTTAGCATCTTGGCACGCTATGTTGCTCCTAGGAGACACCGACCAGAGCACATGGCTGCAGCGAAGAGGGTGTTGCGCTACGTGTGCAGTACGTCGGGCATGGGGCTAGTGCTTGGAGGGCGACGTCGAGTGGTCCTCACAGGTCACGCTGACGCTTCTTGGGCTGACGACCAGGCTCTGCAGCGGTCGTCACAGGGTTACACCTTCAGCCTTGGCTCCGGCTCTATTTCGTGGCGGTCTACCCGCTCGTCTTCGTTTCTCAGCTCCAGCTGTGAGGCTGAGATCAACACATGGGCCATGGCTGCACACGAGCTACGCTGGCTCACCTACCTCCTGACTGACCTAGGAGAGCCGCCTCGTTCTCCTCCAGTTCTGTACGTAGACAACAAGGCCATGCTGGCCTTGTGTCGGGAGCACAGACTGGAGCACAGAACGAAGCACATTGCTCTCCGTTACTTCCTGGCTCGTCAGCTGCAGCAGCGTGGTCAGCTCCGCCTCACCTACGTGGCCTCTGAGGCCAACACTGTTGATATCTTCACCAAGGCCCTTCTGCCTTGTGATCATCTGTGCTTGTGTGCTTTGCTAGGTCTTGTGCCTACCTGGCCTTACTTGCTCACTTCTTGATCTTGTTTGTACTGTCCTCTTTCTATACCTGCACTTGCTTGTTTACCTTTATATTTATGATCTTGCATGTGAACTGGCCTTGTGACCTTATTCTTGTGCTCGGACTGTGTGGTGACTTTGTGATCCACCCTGAGCTTGCTTTGCTTTGCTTGACTGGTCTTGTGACCACTTGTTCTCCCCCACTTTGCCTATGGGGGTGTGTCAGAGCATTATAGCTTATACATTTGTGTAGGCTGTAGTGGGGTTGCCCATAAGGGGTACAACCCAATTAGGGTTAGTACTTGTACCCAACCCTTTCATAGTTCAACCATTCTCTCGTTCTAATCTTCACAGCGAGGTATGACAAGCTATGAACGCTAGTTACATGAAGGTTACTAGCCCTAATCCTTGCCAGGAGAAGCGACTGTGGTCGCCAGGCGCTGTCGGAGGTGCAAATGGTACTAGGTGTGTACGAGACAGTTAGTACGGTCGGAGTGAGGTGGCGTACGGAGAGCATCGCTGGTGGTTGTCACTACTGGTGCTGCTTGCACTACCAGCACTACTGTGGGCGGCTGTTAGGTTTTGTGGGCGGTTGGAAGGGGTTGTGGGCGGCTGGAAGTTGTTGTGGTCAGCTGAAAGTTGCGGCGGGTGGCTGAGAGTTGTTGTGGGCGACTCGGGGGGGTCTGCGAGTGGCTGGGAGTTGCTGTGGGCAGCTCAAAGTCGTTGTGGAAGGTGGTTGCGAGCAGTTGGAAGTTGTTGTGGGCCCTTGCGAGGGGTTGGCGGCAAGCATAGTTGCTGGCAGCAGGCTGGCTGGCGGCGAGCGTAGCCCGTGGCGGCAGGCTGGCTACCGGCTAGTGTAGCTACGTGCGGTAGGCTGGCTTGCAGCTAGTGTAGTTGCTGGTGGCGGGCGGCTGGCTCTGTTTGCCTCTTGGTGGTTGTGGCTAGCTCTGCTGTTAATGCTGGCGGCTAGTGTAGTTGCTGGCAGTTGGCAGAAGTGGTAGTAGCGAGTGCGTCTGCTACTCGTAGGCCACGGCAGTGGAGCATGCAGGTGCCGCCGGTGTGTGCGTTGGCTGCGCGCTCGGTTGTTGCTGTGCGCACGGTGGTAACGCGCGCGGTTATAGCTGCGCGAGCGACTGCAGCGCGTGCGGTTGTTACTACGTGCGCGGCTGCCTAACGGCGGGGCGTGCTCTGCTTACGGCGGGCCTCGTTCCGCGTGGCCTACAGTGGGGAGCGTGCTGCTACTAAGCTTGCGACCTAGAAAAACGGGCTTGTGTGGAGTCGCGCGACCTAGGGAAACGTGACGGTGGGAGTCGCCATGGCAGGCTGAGAGCGCCTCTGTGGCTAGAGGGAGTAAGGAGGGAGGGACAAGCTCTATGACTATGATGCAGTTTAGGCCTAGGAAGTTTTCTAGCTCTGATACCATCTTAAAGTCTTGCGAAATAATGAATGGAGTAGTAGGGGAGGGGATACAAGTAGAAATGTCGAATGTATATGTGTAACCTATACTAGCAAACTAGTAAAGCATATAAAATTTATTTGACACTCACACGGAACCTCTCAGAAAAACACTTGTTCTTATAACTTTACTCATTTCGGATATGTTATATGCCTTACAAGCAGCTATCGTTCATATCTTGATGTTGAGTTATCCCGTGCAATTGATGACGATAGGACGCGAAAATAAATTTATCATTCGGTGGACCATCCATATGAGCAAAAACAATATGTTGATCACCTCGGCCTTGCTTAAAGCGAGATCGGTTTCCGACATCCCGTAAACACGTGCCCCAGGTGGACCACTATCTCTAGAAAGTGGAGTAGATAGAATCATTTTCGAGTTTTGCTATCGTGCGTACAGCCTCAAAAGTTGAAGGCCAGGCTCGGCCAGACGACCTAGCCTCCCTACCGAAGCTACATCCCTTTGCTTTCGGACTTCACGCAACCGGACCTGTGCCCAACCTAGACTTGGTGGCCGCCAAGGTTGCTTGTTCCCGCACACTGGCTTCCCTGCATGATTGTGCCAGCAACGACTAGACAACGAGGTTTTCCCGCCTAAATTTCGCCGTTTTGTTCCTCGAATCCAATTGCAGCCGAGCCACTCGCCCGCCTGGTATGAATTGAATTCAACAAGAGCGTTGGTAAAACGGGCAGACAAAGTCCCTCATTTTTCTCCCCAAGACGTCTTCTCTCCCAACAAAGCACGACGGAACATGCGTTCTTATTTCTGCTAGGCATGTTTTGGCATGCTGGGCCACAAGTTCGAGCCTCAAAGGCGAGAATTCAGGTGGAGAAGGCGGGGCGGGAGCAAGTTCGGGTCGAAGGATTCAGGGAAAATCTCAAAAACAAAAACATGAAAGGGCAATATGCAATCGGATGCGAGGAAAACCGCGCGTTGTTCCCTCTGGTCCCAGGAATTTCTTCCGCGCAACACGCCCTGAAGCACTTTGCCAAGACTGCCATGCCAGGCCATGCCACCACCGGAGCAGCTGCAGCAAGCAGTAGGTACTTGAATCAAGTGGTGGTGTAGGTGCACCGCAGTGCGCACTAGGGTGCCTGGGGCGTGGCGCGTGCGAACAGCTGTGCTGTACATTTTCCAGTTTTTACTTCGCGATTTGACCACTACTGTCGTAACCGTAGTAAACTAGCGCATGTGCTGTGGAGCTGCTACAATACGTCGCTTTCGTCGTCGTTTCTCGCTAAAACGTTTCAGCCATGCTTGCCGCGGTTCAAATGAATGCGGAGGGACAGTCGAGCGACCTTCGCCGTGCTGACGTGGCGCGCATGTGATGCGGTTGTTAGACAGCAACCCATGGACGATTAGCAGGCCATCAGTGCCCCATGCGATACTTCGTCGTGTCCTTTTGCGAGAAACGATTCAATTAGTCTTATTCGTTGGGCGAGACTCAGGAATTAAATTGTGACTCACCTCACATCGCATCTCCTGCGGGGTGCCCTTCCGTTCCTTCGTTAGAAACAACAAGCTGCAACCATGACCCTTTTACACGAGGGCTCGGAAGTAGTACTAGTAGTGGTATTTGCTCCCACCAACTTCGTGACACGCTCAGCGATAAAAATTCAGGCTTGCTCCGAGCGCGACAGAGATGAAGATGTGTTTAGGCTCTGTGTGCTTGAGGGGTTTTCATTCTTTGGATAGACAAGCAGAGACCGCACGCGGTGACCTTGGGGTTGGCTGGGGGAACGCGTCATGGGGCCGCGGCATCCCAAAAATGGGGCTGATCGAAACCTACCATGAAGCTACTATTTAGTTACTTGTCGGTTGTTGTCCAGGAAACAACTTTCTAGTTACTAGCGAACCTACTGGGCGAGGTTGGGCTGCTCCGAACGTAAACATACGGGAAGGTTACTTTGTGGCAGGAATGAACTTGTGTGCAGCGAAGTCCCCACGATTACACACGAAAAGCAGTAACTCTGCTTTTGCGACTGATGCGGCTTACACCCATTTGAGCACGAAAAGCCGAGTAACATTGCGTTCCCTGAGCTGTGACCTTTTGACTGGCTGGGAAGTCATGTTTCCACTGGGTTGCGTCGAATGAGCGCATTTCGCGCCAAACACTGACAGAGATTATCATTGGTAAAGTGTGCGACACCTGTCAAGCATATTCCGAACAGGTCAGACAGCATGACCGAACCTGGGGATTACACGTTTCGGGGAAGGGCACAAGGCAAATGCACGCTTGTGCAACACGTCGCAGTAATTTTCTTGGTGTTTGCTGACGTGTGCATCTAGTGCGTCCCCAAGTGTCGCTATATTATTGACGCCGAGAAAGTGTGTGTAACAGTTACGTTGTTGTTAATAGGGTAACTTTAATTTAGCAATTTTCTATATTCGTAAAATTGCATTTTATATATTCTGTACTGGTTCTTTTATGCATATAATATTAATTATAAATGGATTATTAATACGATTAGTTATTGCAAATACTACGCAACAGGGGTACTGAACAAATTACTACGCCACACAGACTACAACGCAAACACTGCTGCAAACACATGGCATCCTACGCTTTCTTAAAGGTGAGGCTTAGGGACCTTGCAATCCTGGCAACCCTGCGCATGAGATAAACACCCTCTCGGTGGTTGCATTGAATTTCCAAGCAGCCTTATCAGCCTCCCACCACGGGCCCGTAATTGCGCTCCTATTCTGAACGGCGAACGCGACGGCGTTGTGGACCTTCGAATGGTGAATCGTCAATGCGTTTCGATTGGCAACCGGGCTACGCGGCATTTCTTGACCGTTGATCAACTTGTACTCGACCTGCAACAAGCAATGGGTTGGGGTGATTACAACGTATGTCAAAAACCAGCATCGCGACATGCAACTAGACAAAACACCTTGTTAACACAACCACATGGCTCAACATACCCCCAGCAGAAAAAAGGCAAGTTGATTGAATCGGAGCACCACAAAGGAGTGCCCCGGCCTCTGAAACGAGTGGAATACTGCAGCAGTGAAGAAGTCTGTTGAGAATGGCAGGCCATCGTCATTGAAGTGCCACTTCAGCAAGCCCCATGAAGTCGCATCTACTCAACAGTGGAGGTGAGAATGGGGGGAGAAAATACGCGTTGGTGGATGCAATAGATTGAGTGGGTGGGGGCAGGTGTTCTGAGCGGAGAAATGAGGGTGAGAGGCGCTGCATAAACACACAGAAATGGCTTGCACTGCAGTGGCGTTAACCATGTGCCTGCTGGAAGTGGACAAGCTAGGTGCACTACAGCAGGGTACAAGGGGGGTAAGGGGCAGGGTTAGTAGGAAGCACTAGGGTTTAGCAGTGAAACACACAAGCCAGGTGCACTACAGTAGGGTTCAGGTGTGCCTGCTGGAATGGCGAAGGTGGGGGCGCAAGGGAGGGAGGGGCTGGTTCTAATGAGACACCAGGGCCGTGTGAATTTCCGCAAGGTGCCCTCCAGTTTGCCCTCAGGTGCGCCTGCTGGAATGGGGAGGGTGGGGACACAAAGGAGGGCGCTGCTGGTAAGAACGAGGCACATGGCCCACACTTTGGAACCAACAGGGAGGGCAGGTGCCCTCCAGTTTGCCCTCAGGTGCGCCTGCTGGTATGGGGAAACTGGAGAGGGTGCTGCTGGTTAGAACAAGGCACTTGGCCCACACTTTGAAACCCACAGGGAGGGCAGCAGCCCTCCAATTTGCCCTCAGGTGCACCTGCTGGAATGGGGAAGGTGGGGACGCAAGGGAGGGAGGGGCTGGTTTTAATGAGACACCAGGGCCTTGAAAATCACGAAGGGTGCCCTGCAGTTTGCCCTCAGGTGCGCCTGCTGGAATGGGGAAGGTGGGGGCGCAAGGAGGGAGGGGCTGGTTCTAATGAGACACCAGGGCCGTGTGAATTTTCGCAAGGTGCCCTCCAGTTTGCCCTTAGGTGCGCCTGCTGGAATGGGGAGGGTGGGGACACAAAGGAGGGCGCTGCTGGTAAGAACGAGGCACATGGCCCACACTTTGGAACCAACAGGGAGGGCAGGTGCCCTCCAGTTTGCCCTCAGGTGCGCCTGCTGGTATGGGGAAACTGGAGAGGGTGCTGCTGGTTAGAACAAGGCACTTGGCCCACACTTTGAAACCCACAGGGAGGGCAGCAGCCCTCCAATTTGCCCTCAGGTGCACCTGCTGGAATGGGGAAGGTGGGGACGCAAGGGAGGGAGGGGCTGGTTTTAATGAGACACCAGGGCCTTGAAAATCACGAAGGGTGCCCTGCAGTTTGCCCTCAGGTGCGCCTGCTGGAATGGGGAAGGTGGGGGCGCAAGGAGGGAGGGGCTGGTTCTAATGAGACACCAGGGCCGTGTGAATTTTCGCAAGGTGCCCTCCAGTTTGCCCTTAGGTGCGCCTGCTGGAATGGGGAGGGTGGGGACACAAAGGAGGGCGCTGCTGGTAAGAACGAGGCACATGGCCCACAATGCCAAACCCGCTATCCACGGCAACGGTTGGGGTTTTTTGCCCTCAGGTGCGCCTGCTGGAAGGGGAAGGTGGGGGCACAAGAGAGGGAGCGGCTGGTTAGAACGAGGCACTTGGCCCACACCTTGAAACCCACAGATATGGCAGTTGCACTGCAGGTTGCCAGCAGGTGTGCCTGCTGGAAAGGGAAGGAAGTGGCACAAGGGAGTTGGGGCTTGGTGAGAACGGGGCACAAGGGGCTGTATGGTCCCGCAGCCTTGGCAGGTGCACTGCAGTGGCAAAAGAGGGGGTGATACAGGCGTGGGGGGTAAGAAATAAGGCGTGGGTGGGGCTTCGTCTTACCAGCAAAATATTCGGCACAAAAGGCTCCAGGAGAGAGGGTTCCGACCACTTCCCTCCCGCGATCCGGTCGAGCAATGCGGATATCGAAGCGCTCGTACAGCATCACACGGCCCATTGTGTGGACCTTGTTGCGGGCATCCTGCTGCTGCTTTCTGAGGTGGCCCGGGCGCGTTTTCTCATTCTCCATGACCAGCCGCACTTTCGCCACATAGTCGGCGTCGGTGATACCGATAGCGGTGCAAAGTGCAGTGATGTTGGTGTCTCGCGGCGTCCAATACTCAAGGTCGACATCGGGCGTCTCGAAGTACATGATTTCCACTGCACGCTTCGCCGCTCCCTGACGCCGGAGCAAGGGGAGTTTAGGATAGAAGGGGGACAGATGAGAGGGAGGGGAGTGGAGGGTAGCGGCGGGGAAGGGATTGGGGGAGGCGGGAGCGCAGGATGATGGGGCGGATGGGATACGTGTGAGGTGAAGAGGCACAAGGCAAGGCGCATATGCATCACACTCATGCAGCTGGATGGTTCCATTCAAATTAAGAAGTGTTCACGCGAACTACCTCCACACCAAGCATGCACTCAACCCAACGGACCTTAAAACCGTTGTGCATGTCAGGGACGCCCGCCAAGGCGGCGGCGTAGCGGTGAGCCCACGTCAGCTGCATGCTTGACAGTTGTTGCAGGTCCAGTATGACGCCTCGCTTGTGCGCCAGCTTCACCGCGTTTTGGATGGCATTTCGGTTCGGCTCCACACGAAGGACGCTGGGGACCGGCGGCAGCATAGTAGCAGCTGCCACGCCGTCATTGCGCGTTGCGTTCCCACCCGCACCTGCCTGCCCGCTCCCATCCGGCGCCGCATCCTCGGCAGGGTCAATGTTGGGGGAGTTTGCCGGGTTGCTGCTGCCCTCTCCTCCATTGTTGGGCGGTGAGTTCGCCGCAGCCCGCTGCATGTTGCGTCGCTCGTTCTCATACTCCATAAGGCGGCGCCGGAACTCACGGTTCTCCCTTTGCGTGTCCTCGAATTCGGCTCGAGTAACACTGTCGATGATCTCGTTCCCCTCCTCTGCATCGTGATCTGCCGACAACGGCACAAATCCAGGATTGGGCATGTCAGGCTCAATCTCCGGAAACCCTTCGGGATCCGCAGGTTGGTCATATTCTTCTTGGTCTTCGTCATCACTCAGATCAAATCCCGTGAAAGGCCTCGATGAGTTTGGCTGCTGCTGTACATGGCCACTGAGTGGGGATGCAAGAGCTGATGAGGTCTGCTGCTGATGCACAGGCGCCGTGGGCTGCTGCTGATGCACAGGCGCCGTGGGCTGCTGCTGATGCAGGGGCGACGAGGGCTGCTGCTGATGCAGAGGCGACGTGGGCTGATGCTGATGCTGCACACGCGCGTGATGTGGAAGAGCCGATGTGCCCTGATGCTGCTGCCCATTGGTTTGCTGGTGCAGCGGTGCAGACGGCTGCTGCTGAACGAGAGTTGCTGACGGCGGCTGCTGATGCAGAGATGCTGACGGCTGCTGCTGCTGCAGACTTGCTGACGGCTGCGGCTGATGCAGAGATGCTGACGGCTGCTGCTGATGCAGAGATGCTGACGGCTGCGGCTGATGCAGAGATGCTGACGGCTGCTGCTGATGCAGAGATGCTGACGGCTGCTGCTGATGCAGAGATGCTGACGGCTGCTGCTGCTGCAGACTTGCTGACGGCTGCTGCTGCAGACTTGCTGACGGCTGCTGCTGCTGCAGACTTGCTGACGGCTGCTGCTGCTGCAGGGGCGATGTGGGTTGCTGCGCGAGATGAGAAAGAGACGACGTCCCGTGCTGTTGCAGCCCATTGGCATGCTGATGCAGAGTTGAGGGCGGCTGCTGCAGATGCTGGCTATCAAGAGGCAAGGAAGATGCAGAGTTCAGCTGATGCTGCAACCCATTGGCTTGCTGAGACAGGAAGGGCGGTGGGTGCTGCTGATCCTGGCCTTGTGTCCCCAAGTGCTGCAGAGCTACACCGACTGGTCTGGCACCAGGCGGCACAGTAGCGCGCCTCCCACCACTGCGGCGTCCGACAACGGTCCGCACAGAGTTCGATGTTGTTGAAGCGGGCGGTTGTGTCGATCCCAGTAGCGATGTGAGAGACACTATCCGTTCGCCTGCACAAAATGCAGCACGAATGTTGTCAGATGCGGAACAAGGGCTAAATGACTGGCACATCAAGGACTGCAACTGTGAAATGCAAGGCTCACACTTTGAACGATACGGAAATGGAAGGCTCACCAGTGCTGGGCGTGGTGGAAGCAGCTGCACCGGCCGAATTTCCAGCAGGGGGCTGACCCAGGATACGGACTGATTCCAGTGCTGCTGCGAACCTGCTGTGCTGTCCTTTGGTGGGTCGATCTGAGCGTCGTGGTCCTGAGGATGCCATAGGAGAGGAAAATCAACTTTGGTCAGTTTGGAAAACTGACTGAAAGTATGTTTTCCCATTCTATTTATACGGAACGCTGGTTCGATTAAACACGAGATCAACCTAAGCCCAGCTAGCAGAGCATCACGACTAAGGATAGGCCATTTGATCAAAGGCGTCATGGTTCAGAGAGGTGTAGAGTGGCATCGACCATCTCTGATTCAAATTTCGGAAGTTTAAAAAAGGAGGCTCACGTAACTGCTCCGTGGTCGTGTCTGTGGTGTCGCGCGCGGGGTACTTCAGCAGGAGCGTGACTCAACCGAGACAGACGAGCGCATTGCTGAGTTGTCTCGGATACAACTCAGCAATGCCTTTCGAAACCCGTTGGTCTGGGGAGAAGTGAGCTAGGGTTTCACGCGCCATTGCCTGGCAAGCTTGGTCCCTACACGGGGTCGATTTGCAGCAAGGCAAAACAAACGGTGTGAGTAAGGTATAAGGTCGAGCCGCGAACGACCCTGAACAACTTCGTACTCACTAGAAACTGGCGAATCGAGAAGAACAGAATGTCATGCTTAGAAAATAAAAACCCTTACTAATGTTGCCTTAATAGTAGCCACACGGTTCGCTATGTGTAGCAAGTGGTATGATAGCAATTGATTAGGTTCATTGATCCCCTCTGATTTTGAATAAGTAACATACTTCATCTCGTTGGCAGTTGCGATGCTCCCACTGCAAACATGTATCGATAACTGTTCAGGGATCATAAGCATGTTTCTTGTAGTCAACAACATCAGAGATCTTACGAACGGTGGAATGGGAAAGTCAATTCCATTGCCAAAGATCTTGGCTTGGTCTCTTTCGCTCAACTACGCAGCACGTAACGCTTCTTTGTGCGTCGGATGGTCTGAAACTATGCAAGGACTGGCCGGTACGCTACATGTAACCGTTTTGTCTTTTTTTTTCGTGTGTTTTTTTTTTTTTTTCCTTAGACCCATTTCTTCACATACTCGGTTAGTTCACTCACTTCCGTTGCCATAGAAACTGGATTGGGCTCTTTCGCTCAACTACGCAGCACGTTACGCTTGTTTGTGCGTCGGATGGCCTTAAATTGTGCAAGGACTGGCCGGTACGCAACATGTCACCGTTCCGTCATTTGGTTGTTTTTTTTAGCATCATTTCTTCACATATTCAGCTATTTCACTCAATTCTCTTTCGATAGAAACTGGTTAGACCTCATTCGCACAACTTCGCAGCACCAGACACATGTCTCTGCGTCTGATCGCATGAAACAGTGCAATGACAGCCCAGCGCTCATCATGTCACCGTTTCGTCGTTTGTATGATTTTGGTAGCACCATTTCTTCACAGACTCTGTTGGTTCACACTATTCCCTTGCCATTGGAACTGGTTTGGGGTCATTCGCACATCTACGCAGCACGTGACGCTTGCTTGTGCGTCTGATCGCCTGAAACCGTGCAAGGACAGCCCAGTGCGCAACATGTCACCGTTTCGTCGTTTGGTTGCTTTTGTTAGCACCATTTCTTCGCTTATTCTCTTAGTTCACACTATTCCCTTGCCATCGGACCTGTTTAGGGCTCAATCGCCCAAGTCCACAGGACACTTTCCATAGTTTAGCAAGTCGCAAACGTTATTGACTTCACAATAGAATATGGTAGCTTGGTTCATATAGCCTAATATAGACCTGGCATGCCTTTGGTACACTAATATCTCGACGCTAAGGAGTGTGTAAATGGCTGGAAACCTAGGCCCACCATGGTTAGTGAGGATCTTGGAGGGTTGTGGTCTTTTGGAAAGAGCATTTAATATGTACATGTGATGTGAGGTGAGGTGGCAATGGAAGCGTGTGATGTCAGGTGGGGTGGCAATGGAAGGACAGCTTTAGAGCTCAGAACATGTGGTCAACAGTTGATTGTGGTCTTCTTTCTGTAGGTGTTGCTTCTAGTGGGTTTAGAAATCCCACCCCTACTTGCTGTTTGATGCATCACACCTGCCATCCAGCTATGCAATGCTGTACTTGAAAGCTGCCAACATGCTTTCCTAGAAGCTACAATCCCTTGCATGCAATACGTGCCTTGTGCCCCATTTGGAACCATGCCATCCTTGCCATTAATCCGGTCCTTATGCTTGATCTGAATATAGGAACGTTCTGCTGGATCTGATGCTAGATGCCAAGAGGTTGCTCTTGTTTGAAGCAAACCATGGTTGAGAAGATCGTCTCATGTGAAACTTACACCTGGCAAAATCAAAATGGCTTTGCATCGTCACTGTTTCGTCGTTTGGTTGCTTTTTTTAGCACCATTTCTTCACAGATCCGTTACCATCACACTAATCCCTTGCCATTGCAACTGGTTTGGGCTCATTCGCACGTCTACGCAGCACGTGACGCTTGCTTGTGCGTCTGATCGCCTGAAACCGTCCAAGGACAGCCCAGCCCGCAACATGTCACCGTTTCGTCGTTTGGTTGCTTTTTTTAGCACCATTTCTTCACAGATGCTGTACCTTCACACTAATCCCTTTCCATTGGAACTGGTTTGGGCACATTCTCACATCTACGCAACAGGTTACGCTTGCTTCTGCGTCTGTTCGCCTGAAACCGTGCAAGGACAGCCCAGCGCGCAACATGTTACTGTTTCGTCGTTTGGTTGCTTTTTTTAGCACCATTTCTTCACAGATCCTGTACCTTCACAGTAATCCCTTGCCATTGGAACTGGTTTGGGCTCATTCGCACATCTACGCAGCACGCGACGCTTGCTTGTGCGTCTGATCGCCTGAAACCGTGCTAAAGCAGACCAGCGTTAGACATGTCACCTTTTCGTCGTTTGGTTGCTTTTTTTAGCACCATTTCTTCACAGATGCTGTACCGACACACTAACCCCTTGCCATTGGAACTGGTTTGGGCTCATTCGCACATCTACGCAGCACGCGACGCTTGCTTGTGCGTCTGATCGCCTGAAACCGTGCTAAAGCAGACCAGCGTTAGACATGTCACCTTTTCGTCGTTTGGTTGCTTTTTTTTAGCACCATTTCTTCACAGATCCTGTACCTTCACAGTAATCCCTTGCCATTGGAACTGGTTTGGGCTCATTCGCACATCTACGCAGCACGCGACGCTTGCTTGTGCGTCTGATCGCCTGAAACCGTGCTAAAGCAGACCAGCGTTAGACATGTCACCTTTTCGTCGTTTGGTTGCTTTTTTTAGCACCATTTCTTCACAGATGCTGTACCTTCACACTAATCCCTTGCCATTGGAACTGGTTTGGGCTCATTCGCACATCTACGCAGCACGCGACGCTTGCTTGTGCGTCTGATCGCCTGAAACCGTGCTAGAGCAGACCAGCGTTAGACATGTCACCTTTTCGTCGTTTGGTTGCTTTTTTTAGCACCATTTCTTCACAGATGCTGTACCTTCACACTAATCCCTTGCCATTGGAACTGGTTTGGGCTCATTCGCACATCTACGCATCACGTGACGCTTGCTTGTGCGTCTGATCGCCTGAAACCGTGCAAGGACAGCCCAACGTTAGACATGTCACCGTTTCGTCGTTTGGTTGCTTTTTTTAGCACCATTTCTTCACAGATCCGTTACCATCACACTAATCCCTTGCCATTGGAACTGGTTTGGGCTCATTCGCACGTCTACGCAGCACGTGACGCTTGCTTGTGCGTCTGATCGCCTGAAACCGTGCAAGGACAGCCCAGCCCGCAACATGTCACCGTTTCGTCGTTTGGTTGCTTTTTTTAGCACCATTTCTTCACAGATGCTGTACCGACACACTAACCCCTTGCCATTGGAACTGGTTTGGGCTCATTCGCACATCTACGCAGCACGCGACGCTTGCTTGTGCGTCTGATCGCCTGAAACCGTGCTAAAGCAGACCAGCGTTAGACATGTCACCTTTTCGTCGTTTGGTTGCTTTTTTTTAGCACCATTTCTTCACAGATCCTGTACCTTCACAGTAATCCCTTGCCATTGGAACTGGTTTGGGCTCATTCGCACATCTACGCAGCACGCGACGCTTGCTTGTGCGTCTGATCGCCTGAAACCGTGCTAAAGCAGACCAGCGTTAGACATGTCACCTTTTCGTCGTTTGGTTGCTTTTTTTAGCACCATTTCTTCACAGATGCTGTACCGACACACTAACCCCTTGCCATTGGAACTGGTTTGGGCTCATTCGCACATCTACGCAGCACGCGACGCTTGCTTGTGCGTCTGATCGCCTGAAACCGTGCTAAAGCAGACCAGCGTTAGACATGTCACCTTTTCGTCGTTTGGTTGCTTTTTTTAGCACCATTTCTTCACAGATGCTGTACCGACACACTAACCCCTTGCCATTGGAACTGGTTTGGGCTCATTCGCACATCTACGCAGCACGCGACGCTTGCTTGTGCGTCTGATCGCCTGAAACCGTGCTAAAGCAGACCAGCGTTAGACATGTCACCTTTTCGTCGTTTGGTTGCTTTTTTTTAGCACCATTTCTTCACAGATCCTGTACCTTCACAGTAATCCCTTGCCATTGGAACTGGTTTGGGCTCATTCGCACATCTACGCAGCACGCGACGCTTGCTTGTGCGTCTGATCGCCTGAAACCGTGCTAAAGCAGACCAGCGTTAGACATGTCACCTTTTCGTCGTTTGGTTGCTTTTTTTAGCACCATTTCTTCACAGATGCTGTACCGACACACTAACCCCTTGCCATTGGAACTGGTTTGGGCTCATTCGCACATCTACGCAGCACGCGACGCTTGCTTGTGCGTCTGATCGCCTGAAACCGTGTTAGAGCAGACCAGCGTTAGACATGTCACCTTTTCGTCGTTTGGTTGCTTTTTTTAGCACCATTTCTTCACAGATGCTGTACCTTCACACTAATCCCTTGCCATTGGAACTGGTTTGGGCTCATTCGCACATCTACGCATCACGTGACGCTTGCTTGTGCGTCTGATCGCCTGAAACCGTGCAAGGACAGCCCAACGTTAGACATGTCACCGTTTCGTCGTTTGGTTGCTTTTTTTAGCACCATTTCTTCACAGATCCGTTACCATCACACTAATCCCTTGCCATTGGAACTGGTTTGGGCTCATTCGCACGTCTACGCAGCACGTGACGCTTGCTTGTGCGTCTGATCGCCTGAAACCGTCCAAGGACAGCCCAGCGTTAGACATGTCACCGTTTCGTCGTTTTGTTGATTTTGTTAGCGCCAATTATTCACAGATTCTGTTGGTTCACACTATTAACTTGCCATTGGAACTTGTCTGGGCTCATTCGCACATCTACGCAGCACGTGACGCTTGCTTGTGCGTCTGATCGCCTGAAACCGTGCAAGGACAGCCCAGTGCGCAACATGTCACCGTTTCGTCGTTTGGTTGCTTTTTTTAGCACCATTTCTTCGCTTATTCTCTTAGTTCACACTATTCCCTTGCCATCGGACCTGTTTAGGCCTCAATCGCCCAAGTCCACAGGACACTATCCATAGTTTAGCAATTCGCAAACGTTATTGCCTTCACAATAGAATATGGTAGCTTGGTTCATATAGCCTAATACAGACTTGGCATGTCTTTGGTACACTAATATCTCGACGCTAAGGAGTGTGTAAATGGCTGGAAACCTAGGCCCACCATGGTTAGTGAGGATCTTGGAGGGTTGTGGTCTTTTGGAAAGAGCATTTAATATGTACATGTGATGTGAGGTGAGGTGGCAATGCAAGCATGTGATGTCAGGTGGGGTGGCAATGGAAGGACAGCTTTAGAGCTCAGAACATGTGGTCAACAGTTAATTGTGGTCTTCTTTCTGTAGGTGTTGCTTCTAGTGGGTTTAGAAATCCCACCCCTACTTGCTGTTTGATGCATCACACCTGCCATCCAGCTATGCAATGCTGTACTTGAAAGCTGCCAACATGCTTTCCTAGAAGCTACAATCCCTTGCATGCAACACTTGCCTTGTGCCCCATTTGGAACCATGCCATCCTTGCCATTAATCTGGTCCTTATGCTTGATCTGAACATAGGAACGTTCTGCTGGATCTGATGCTAGATGCCAAGAGGTTGCCCTTGTTTGAAGCAAACCATGGTTGAGAAGATCGTCTCATGTGAAACCTACACCTGGCAAAATCAAAATGGCTTTGCATCTGGTCCCAAAGTGAGACCACTGGTGTCTCCTGGATCCAGGCTGGCATAATTGCTCTGGACAGCATACAATATCACCCTAGGAAGAAGACAGTTTGACCTCTGTCTTCTAGTGATGCATTCCCATATCACCTGTTGAAGTGTTCTCCCCTGGATTGCATCCTATGTCGTTTTGGTTTCTCTTTCCCCCTTCACTCTTACCCTCCCCAGCTTACCTCACGTCACCCGCAGAGGTTCCTTTCCGTAGCAAACATTCCTCAGAATCACTCGAAGGGCAAATGCTTAGCTTGCAGCTTGTTGACCTCCATTCCCCTGACAAATCGACTCGCCTCTGTATTAGTTTGACGTACGCTTGGTGAGCCCTAAAACCCGCATATCATGTCTATGCCGTCCTGCTGTTCGTCTAGAACCCTGCGATCCGTGCGTTTTGCGAATCTGTGCCACGTTCCCCTTTCCCTCTCGCCCCCTCTACCCCTTGTCAAGACGTTTCACCGTTGCGTTCTTTTTACCTATCACAAGACATCCTTAACTGCTTATCGCACGTCCCTGCGTCTCCGCCATACCCTAATCTCGCACTTCCCTGCAGCAAATTACCCTCATCCCTTTCTCCACTGGACGTGCGACCCCGGCTCGGGATTGTCACACACTGCGGTTACAGCAACACGAACGGTGGCGCACGTTGTTGCTGAGGCTTGGTTGTCGAGGCATTTTCCTAGATCGGCAGTACGGTAAAGGCGCGAGGGTGTTACAGGGGGGGTAGCACGGTGTGAGCGCAAATCTACGAAATCCTCCCAGGGAAGGCGCATTCCCATCAATATCCAAGGGCACTTACCTGCCCCGTTTCTTCTACGAAGTTGCCATCCGCTCTCCCATCCTATCCTCGTCCTCGCTTGCCTTTTGTACTCCTCATCGCTCCTATCCTGCTCTCCTCTTCTCTCCCATCCTGCTCTCCTCTCCTCTCCCATGATGCTTTTGTTCTATCCTATCCTGCTGTCTTTTCCACCGAGGTTCTGCACAACCGTTGATCCACGCGGTCTCGTTCTTGTGGCGTTTCTACGTGCCGTCCTGTGCAGTCGAGTTTGCAGGCGTGGCGCACGGTGTGAGCGGCGGAATCCGCAGGCGTGGCGCGCGGTGTGAGCTCCGGAATCCGCAGGCGTGGCGCACGGTGTGAGCTCTGCTAGTTCCGCAGGCGTGGCGCACGGTGCGCGCGCAGAGTCCTACTCGAATCCTGCTTGGATTTAGTTCGCTTCTTCTCTACCCTTCCTTACGATCCGCTCCTCTCCCATCCTGCCTTCCTTTCCTCTCCCTTCCTGCCTTCCTGTCATCTCCCTTGGCCTCATTTCCTCTCCCCTCCCGCTTTCAACTACTCTCCCTTTCTTGCCTTACTCTCCTTTTCCTTCCTGCCTTCCTCTCCTCTCCCTTCTTGCCTTCATCCCCTCTCCTTTCTTGCCTGCATCTCCTCTCCCTTCCTGCCTTCCGCTGCTCTCCCTTCATGCTTTCTTCTCCTCTCCCTTCCTGCCTTCATTTCCTCTCCCATCCTGCTCTCCACTCCTCTCCCTTCCTGCATTATCCCCTTGCCCTTCCTGCCTTATCCCGTTTCTCTTCCTGCCATCCTTTCCTCTCCCTTCCTGCCTACTTCTCCGCTCCCTTCCTGCATTCATCTCCTCTCCCCGAACTTCGTTTCCGCTCAAATCCCTTTACCGCCTTCATTTCAATTCCTTTCATGCCTTCATGTCCTCCCCTCCTCTCCCATCCTGCTCTCCTCTCCTCTCCCATCCTGCTCTCCTCTCCTCTCCCATCCTGCTCTCCTCTCCTCTCCCATCCTGCTCTCCTCTCCTCTCCCATCCTGCTCTCCTCTCCTCTCCCATCCTGCTCTCCTCTCCTCTCCCATGATGCCCTCTCTTGTCCTATCCTGCTGTATTCCCCACCCAGGTTCTCGTTCTTGTGGCGTTCCTACGTGCCATCCTGGGCACCCGAGTTTGCAGGCGTGGCGCACGGTGTGAGCTCCGGAATCCGCAGGCGTGGCGCACGGTGTGAGCTCCGGAATCCGCACGCGTGGCGCACGGTGCGTGCGCAGAGTCCTACTCGACTCCTGCTTGTGTTTCATTTGCTCCTTCTCTACCCTTCCTCTCATTCCGCTCCTCTCCCTTCCTGCCTTCGTTTCCTCTCCCTTGCCCTCATTTTTCCCGTTTACTCCCTTGAACTACTCTCCCTTTCATGCCTTCAAGTATTCTCCCTTTCATGCCTTCAAGTACTCTCCCTTTCATGCCTTCAAGTACTCTCCCTTTCCTGCCTTGATCTCCTCTCCCTTGCTGCCTTCCTCTCCTCTACCGTCTTGCCTTCATATGCTCTCCCTTCCTTCCTTAGCGTGCAACCGCCTTCTTGCCTTCATTTCGATTCCTTTCATCCCTTTATGTCCTCTCCCATCCTGCTCTCCTCTCCTCTCCCATCCTGCTCTCCTCTCCTCTCCCATCCTGCTCTCCTCTCCTCTCCCATCCTGCTCTCCTCTCGTCTCCTGCTCTCCTCTCCTGCTCTCATATCCTCTCCTGCTCTCATATCCTCTCCTGCTCTCGTATCCTCTCCTGCGCTCATATCCTCTCATGCTCTCATATCCTCTCATGCTCTCATATCCTCTCCTGCTCTCATATCCTCTCCTGCTCTCATATCCTCTCCTGCTCTCATATCCTCTCATGCTCTCATATCCTCTCCTGCTCTCATATCCTCTCCTGCTCTCATATCCTCTCCTGCTCTCATATCCTCTCCTGCTCTCATATCCTCTCCTGCTCTCATATCCTCTCCTGCTCTCATATCCTCTCCTGCTCTCATATCCTCTCCTGCTCTCATATCCTCTCCTGCTCTCATATCCTCTCCTGCTCTCATGTCCTCTCATGCTCTCATATCCTCTCCTGCTCTCATATCCTCTCCTGCTCTCATATCCTCTCCTGCTCTCATATCCTCTCATGCTCTCATATCCTCTCATGCTCTCATGTCCTCTCATGCTCTCATATCCTCTCCTGCTCTCATATCCTCTCCTGCTCTCATGTCCTCTCATGCTCTCATATCCTCTCCTGCTCTCATATCCTCTCATGCTCTCATATCCTCTCCTGCTCTCATATCCTCTCCTGCTCTCATATCCTCTCCTGCTCTCATATCCTCTCCTGCTCTCATATCCTCTCCTGCTCTCATGTCCTCTCATGCTCTCATGTCCTCTCATGCTCTCATATCCTCTCCTGCTCTCATATCCTCTCCTGCTCTCATATCCTCTCCTGCTCTCATGTCCTCTCATGCTCTCATATCCTCTCCTGCTCTCATATCCTCTCATGCTCTCATATCCTCTCCTGCTCTCATATCCTCTCCTGCTCTCATATCCTCTCCTGCTCTCATATCCTCTCCTGCTCTCATATCCTCTCCTGCTCTCATATCCTCTCCTGCTCTCATATCCTCTCCTGCTCTCATATCCTCTCCTGCTCTCATATCCTCTCCTGCTCTCATATCCTCTCCTGCTCTCATATCATCTCCCGTGCTGCCCGTCTGACCAATCCTGCTATCTTCGCAATCCGCAGGCGCGTCGCACGGTGGGAGCTGCGCAATCCGCAGCCGCGTCGCACGGTGGGAGCTACGGAATTCGCAACTGTGTCGCAAGGTGCGTGTGAAGAATCCTAATCGGAATTTGCATGGGTTTCCTTCGCTTCTATCTCCTCCCTGTCCTCTTTATCCCTGCATGCCTTCATCTCATCTCGCTCACTGCCTTCCTCTTCTCTCCCTCACTGCCTTCCTCTCCTCTCACTTACTGCCTTCCTATCCTATCCCTTCATGCCTTCATCTCCTCTCCCTTCCTGTCCTCCCCTCCATCTCCCTTTCTGTCCTCCTCTCCCCTCTCCGTTTTTGTCCCCCCCTCCCATCCTCCTCAGTGTCCACACCTCTCCTCTCCCGCTCCGTCCTCCACTGCTCGCTTCTCCACCCATGTTCGCAGGCGTGTCGCGCAGTGGGATCTCAGGAAACAGTAGGGTCGCGCAACATGTGGGTTCCGGAATCCGCATGCCAACCCCCCGCGGTGCGTACGCGGAAATCTCGCTTCCCCTTCCCCTTCCTCTTCCTCACCCTGCCTTCCTCTCCTCTCGCTTCCTGCCATAATCCCATCTCCTGTCCTGCCTTCATCTCCTCTCCCGTCCTGCCTTCATCTCCTCTCCCGTCCTGCCTTCATCTCCTCTCCCGTCCTGCCTTCATCTCCTCTCCCGTCCTGCCTTCATCTCCTCTCCCGTCCTGCCTTCATCTCCTCTCCCGTCCTGCCTTCATCTCCTCTCCCGTGCTGCCATCATCTCCTGTTCTGGCCTGCCTCCCTCTCCTCTCCCTTCCTGCCTCCCTCTCCCCTCTCTTTCTGTCCTCCCTTCTCCCCTCTCCTTCTGTCCCCCCTTCTCCCCTCTCTTTCTGTCCTCTCTCTTCTCCCGTGCTGCCTTCCCGCTCCTCTCCCTTTCTTTTCCTTTCCCTCCGCTCTTCTTCGCTATTACATCCTGTACATTCATGCAGATAAACGAGTTCTTTGCACCGGTGACATAGCACGGGCGTTTCAAAGGAGGTGGTGACGGCAGTTCGGATCCAAATCGGCCAGCGATCTTCGCCTGCCATCGTGTGGGCCCGAATCCGGGAGGAGATCTCACAGCCGAAAGGCCTGCCTTTGGGGCGTGCTGCACTCCCTCAGTAACGAACATTGAAGGAGTGCGACCTTGTTGTGCGCTTAAGGTAACCTTATTCGCCAGTTTAGTTGTTTATTTCCACTCACGGGATAGGTGCACATACACGGTCTGGGATCACATGCATGACTGGATGACACCTGAACGGTTGGTGTTTGCTTTGCCGTGAATGATGAATCTCACATATCCGCGACCCCCGTTTCCCTACTACGTTTCCATCTGCGGTGCACCTCCCCTTTCGTATCATATGTTAGGGTTGTTTACTTCTCTCGCTTAACGCCCTCCGCTCTTCTCTCGTCTAACCCTCCGCTCCTCTCCCGCCCAGCCCTCTGGTTCTCTCCCCAATGCCTACCCTCCTCTCCTCTCCCATCCTGCCCTCCCTTCTGCCCTGCCATCCTCTCCCATCCAGCCCACATATCCTTTCCCGGCCTCCCACTCACTTTGTGTACCGTGCCTCTTAACTCCACACAGGTCTGCTCAACACATGTTGCCTGCTAACTCTTCGGTGCGGCGTCTGCGATACACTGAATATACGTCAAACCTTGGGCTAGGTTGTGGTGACGTCGTGGGCATGTGCGTTTGGGCTGCGGGTGTCCGGTACTGTCTAACGTTGCCTGATGTGTCATTTAGTATACCTATATGCGTCTATAATACGTGCATCAATATTACGCCCCATACATGTAATTATGTGATTCTGGCCATATCTGCATCTTTTTAGCACACTCAAACCGACCAGGATCAAAAGTAAAACCTACGAGATCTGCTTCTATCGCAGGTAGTTTCCAGATTGAACCGTGCCCGACATCCAGGCGTTCGTGCTAGGCTTGATGCAAGACACCGTACGCTGTGGGAGCTTCCTGCCGACTTAGAGGTAAGGGTATAGATGAGTCTTTTATCGCATTGTGTATACGATGCTTGACATGTGGTGGCTATGTTAAACCCTGGATGACTCTAATCTACATGCTGTTTACCATGTGCAGTTACCCGAACCTCGACATGCTTATCTTCGTATGCCGGCATTGCGGGAAGGGGTTGAAGAGCGAGTTAGGTCTAGTGAATCACCAGAGGAGTAATCAACGGTGTTTAGCGTTTCAGGAAGCAAATGCGTTTAGCACTCCAACTAGTCGTGGGATTTTGGTACCACCATTAGAACGTGTAGAGTTGACGCCGCCATTTCCATTCGTGTTTGGAGTGCAGGATCCGGTAGTAGATAGGGGTGATGGCTACGATGAGTCGTACGATGATGACACTGAAGTCTTTTGTGACGCCGAGGTCGAGTTTGGGGAAGAGGAGGAAGAGCGCCCTATATTCGACACTAAGAAGGAGACGTTTAGGTTTCTGGAGAGTTGCAATAAGGGTACTGGAATGGCCAGTCCAGACGTTAGTTACTTTTTTAGGTTAGTGAAGCAGCCCGGTTTTGATCCAGCACAGCTTGCTGAGTGGACCACAAAAGCAGCAGTAGATAGGTATGGGATAGAGGCCTTAGGAGTTTCTAAGCAGCGGTTTAAAACGATAGAAGTAACTGTAAGAGGATGGCCGTCATCATTTCAAGTCAAGACAGTGGATCTGAAAGAGGTATGGTTATGAACGTTTGGTAGTTAGTTTGTTCTATCTTTGACTGTATTTGACAGAGGTTTGTTGATTGGCAGGCATTGGAAAGGATGTGGGGGGATAAGCGCAACGCTCCTGGATTCACACATCACGCTAAGAAAAAGATGGTGGACGATATTAGAGTGTATGATGCAGCACACAATGGGGATTATTGGTTGGGTGCTCAGGTAAACACAATGTTAGGAATGTTTTGTTGACTATTTCATGTGCCCTCTTAGTGCAGCCACTTACATTCTCTTACTCCGCCCAATATTACTCCACTACAGAAAGGCCTGGGACCCAAGGAGTGTGTCTGTCCACTCATCATTTCGAGCGATGAGACCACGCTGAGTGGTAACGAGCGATGTCGCGCTTGGCCGGTATACCTTACCTTTGCCAATCTTCCTGTTGATACGAGATGGAAGGAGCATGGTCGCACAATGATTGCGCTCTTGCCGCGTCCGGATCCTGAGATGGAAGCCTGGCAAAAAGTGGAGCTGTTTCAGAAGAGTAGTTCTGCAGTGTTTGAAAGCCTCATGCGGTTTTGCAAAACGTATGTGTAATGGTGTTATTTGCATATTGTCTCCAAATGTAGTCGTGATGCTGAATTACGGCTCCTACTCTTATACGTTTTCCCCATGGGTGTTTGTTGTGGATTTGTAGTTCTCTGCCCTTGACAGATCCTAACGGCAAAGTTTGGACCGTTTGGTTCAAACTGTTCGAGTACATCGCTGATTATCCCGAGACCTGCAAGGTCACATGCACGATGCAACACAACTCGGCGCGCCCTTGCTCGATCTGCTATGTGGAGAAGTCGCAGCTGGACGTCATGGATCCAAACATCATCGAGTACAGGACCGTAGAGCGTCAAATGAAGTACGCCAAGGACGCTAAGCTAGCGAAAGAGTATTCTACGGTTATGATGGACGTAAGTAACATGGCTATTATTACAGCTGTCATGTATAGTTTGCGAAATGACACGCTGACATTGCGCTGGTGCGGGAGTATTATATGCCTCGCATGCCACTTGAACTAATGTAACCCATAGTTTGTCGGTGTCCCGTATATCAACCCCGCCCTGTAGACCTTTCTGTGGCATTTCGGCAAGCAGAAGGACGCTGAGAAGGATTGGGGAAACCCGTATCAAGTAATCCAACCTGATGTGTTACATGTGATCTTGATCGGGCTTTGGGTGTACATCCTTGAAGCTTTGCTTCTCAAGAACAAAAATGTTAAAACGATGAACGAGTAAGTATGCAAGTGGATTCATAAATATGGCGCTTCTCTTTACCCTCTCTTAATGGATAATATACGCAATAGTAACTTTGTTTCTACTGTATTGCCACTGGCAGACGCCATCGGGATCTCTACCGGGAGGCGCGATCAGCAGGCATTCCGCTACCCCCCCCTGGACGCTACTTCAGCCTTGGAGCCAACTTCTCAGCATCGGATCATGCAGGAATGTTGCGGGTGAGTATGTTTCCCCTATTAGATAGTAACGTTCGTCCCACTGTATGTTTAGTTTGACCATTCTACCCACCGTGTGGTATTGTGTAATCCAGGTGGTCGTGTTCATTATGGAAGGACTCATTTCCGGTGCGGGAATGTATATTCTGCGTTTCTTTGTGAACTGGTTCGACACCTACTTCAGGGCAACATCCTACACGAAGGCATCGCTGGAGAAATATGTGACTGACACCCAAGAGTAAGTGTTTTGTCCTACATGTATTGAATGTGTTGGGAGTTGCCCGATTGGATGTTTGTACAGATTGGTTGCTTATACCATTGTATCTCATGCCTTGCCATTTCATTGGCAGATTGATCCGACTGTTGGTACACAATCTGCCACGCGGGGGAAATGGGTGGAAGCTTGTGAAAGTACATTTGCTGCTGCACTTCCCAGATTCGATTAGGCGAGGCGGTTTGCCTAGGGAGTTCTGCACTAGCCTGTTCGAGCATGCACACACTGCCTCATGTAAACGACCATTTCGAGCATCCAACTTTCGAGAGTATGATGCAGCAATCATGCGCAGCGCGGTGATGCGCAACGCGCTGTCTCTGTTGCCAACTTCTCTGCTGCAGAGCAAGCGTTACGACACCGCCCTCATGAAGGTACAGTAGTTCGTATGTTAATGCATCCTGTTTCTATCCCACTGGTATCTTGTGTGTCACCCTGATCCAAATCTTGGCATCTTTTTCCCTACATGGAACCCTCTTAAATTCCAGGCCATCTCTCTCAAAACACACGTGCTGACGTCCCGACACAACACCATGGTTCTGCCGTGCCGCGAGGGTGGGGTTGTGGGAGATGCCTTGTGGGACTCGTTCGTCAACCATCATGGGACGGGAATGCGCTCGCTTCCTGAGTTGCTCAAGAGTCAGCAGCTGCCTGCCAAGTCTGTGGAGGTATGGTTTGTTCTTGACTTGTTGTACTCCTCCATACCCAACCGGACGTTCTACACTGTTGTGATTATTCAACAAACGATCGTTTGCCTTATCCTTCCAGGTACATACCTCGATCGCACTACCACCAGGGGACGACTACGAGGCGCATTACGCACGGGCAGCATTGACGTTCCATAACGCACCTTGTTTCTCCTATGTTGCGATTTTGGGGAACGAAAGTGCGCCGCTTGGAGCTGAGGTGATTACAACGTGGTTCGCACAGCTGATGCTCTTGTTCCATGTGGATTCTGTTGAGGACGGGCGTGCAGTGAAGAAGGCCTATGCAATGGTGCGATACTACGAAGTTGGAGATGTGGACGCGGTCACATCGTGCACAGTGCTGCACGAGTCGCAGCGTGACGTACGATATCAGATTGTTGAGGCGCAATCCATCTTGCGCACGCTGCATGTGGTTAGGTCGTTTGATCGGCGTAGTTTGTCTTTCATTAATAGGTTTGGTGTTCAGGAGTTTTGAATGAACAAGTACAGCCTTGAACTTGTTTTCCAATTGCAGTATTATTTTTAACGAACTGTAGTAACGCATCGCTGCGACTTGAGATTGAACGTATCAAGGTCAACGCACAGGAAGGGTCGCACAAGGTTTTCCTGGGCCCTTGACCTAGTAGTAGAGTGATTGAACATTGACTGGGATGTGCCCTACATGCAAGTGTAAGGACATAAATAGTAGCAAAATGGAATACTAATCGGCCTAGCTAGCCAAACACTCAAAGGTTGACATTCCTCTATCCGATTTCGAACCCATGATTGCGGCTCGAACATGTACGGAACTGTTCCCGCCAAATCC